GAAAGAAAAATACTTAAACAATACTAGCACATACTAACATCTCAGTAATGCTAGTTAGCTCTTCCCATTGGATCAGACATCTATATTTAACTCTTTACATTAAAATTTTTATTGTCAAGTTAATTTTCAGGATTTCATGGGGTCTTTTTATTTTGGGAAGGAAGTTTGATGAGAGTAACCGACCTCTTCTCTCATCTCAGCCTTTTCCTAAACTGGGTCCCGGGAAAGAACGACTTTCCTCTCTGTCGCATAGTCTTAAACACACACACACCCTGACCTGCTTCCCTAAAAACCCTGAGGCCCTGCAATCTGGCCAGAAAAGAAAGAAAACCATTCCAAGATATTTAATTGTACAGGGAGCTTACAGGATTGATCGAGAGCTTAGCTTTTTACAATAGTCCAGTGAATAAGAGATGCTCCTGACAAACGATCAATGATGGGATAATCACTCTTTATCCCCCTCCTCATTCTTACCTTCTTTCTTTCGGCAGAACAGGGTTCAGAAGTCAAAAATCTTTATAGACGCCGCTTTTAAATTAAGCAGAAAATAGACATTGACATATTTGTTAATCTCCCCTAAATCATTACCAGGGCTGGCTGCTTCGCTGTACAGGGAGGGGGCCCTCGGTGCGCCACACAAGGTCTGGCTAGCTTAGGAGCAGCATTTTCTTTTAAGAAAACAAAATTTAGAAGAACTGTTCTTTCCCCTCTTAAAACAAAGCACACAAATCCTTGGCTTTCTCACTGCATTTTAAAAGACATGCATTTGCTACTTCTGTCTTTTCCTTGCTGTGATGTGTTTTTGAGGTGGGTCTTGAACTGGGATGAGAAGCGTGACTGAAGGAATCAAGGCAGGCAGCCTTGGGGGGGGGGGGATGCTCTGTGATCTTCTCATCTCGAGGGGAGGAGAACGGTACAGGTGTTTATTTTGTTACTCTTTCAAAGTGGCTTGATTAGGTGGACAAGACCTTTGTTAGGCCAGCAGCTAGTCCTCTCTGTCCTTCCAACTTGACGAAAAGCCAAGGCCTTGTTTCCGGAACTCTCTGCTCCTAAGCTCATAAGGCCTCCCTCTCTGCACTCAGAGCTGGGCTGGGCTGTTCTTTCTCTCACCCAAAGAACCAAACTCTCCAGCTGATCCCTCTTCTTGGCAACTGCTGGGATACCTGCTCGATCATCTTCAGTAGCATTTAACAGAACACAGGCTTCAGGGACACCCAGACCCTAGTGTAAATGCTGACTTTGCTGCTTATGTGCTGGGTGCCATTGGGTGAGTCACTCACATTTCAGAGCCTCGGTTTCCTCATCTGTAAAATCGACACCCTTCTTGTAAGGTTGGGTTGTTAAAAGGATTAGAAATAACATATGTGAAGCAACTTGGAAACCTCTGTCGTATTTAGGTGTTCAGCTTGGCAGCAGTGGAAACAGCAGACCAGACCTACGTCTGAATTGTGCAGGGTGACTTACAAGCTATGTGAGCCTGAAAGCATTGTGTGCAGCACCTGGCCCATAGTAAATGCTCAGTAACTGGTATGTTTGATATGTGGTGCATGTACACACATATGTGCAGAGTGCAGTGTTGGTCATTTGCCCAGAAGGAGAAGGTTGTAAGGGTCATTCTGTTCAGCCACATCCACAGCCCTGCCATCCTTTGCCTCCACCCCCCACCCCAGCAGGGCTGTTGAGTTAGTTCTTAACCTTTGCTGTAAGAGGCGGAGCTACCCTTACGTCTGAGGTCTGACCTGCAGAATGGGAATTCTGGAGACATCCAGAATTGGATTTCTCAGTTGTGGAATGGGACGAGCATGGCACTTCAGCTTCACCAGCTGGGAGTCTGCCATCTCTGAAATCAGAGGGGCACTGCCACTGAAGTGTGTACTCCGCCCCAAGTGAGCAACACAGACAACATCATGCAGTGTCCGGGAGGTCTGGGAGCCATGCTGCTCTCTGCCTGAGTGCTGGCTCTTCCCACTTTTGGCCTTGTGACCTGGGTAAGTTACATAAATGCTCAGTGCCTCGGTTTCCTCACCCATAAGATGGGATGATAAGGATACCAACCTCCTAAGGTTGTTGTCAGGGTGACATGAGCTCACAGACAGACAGCACTTAGAATAGTGCCCAGTACCCTGTGGATATTCGCTTTGACTATTGATTATATGCGTTGGGGAGCCAGGGAAAACATTCGTTAGTTGGGCTTATTTTTTGTTTAACTTTCCATTTGACAAATTCTATAGAAAAGTTATAAAAACAGTACAAAGGACTTCTAATGCCTTTTTCTCAGACTCACTTGTTAACATCTGTCCTGTTTGCTTTTTCCTTTCTGCATGTTCATGTGCAGGTGCTCACTCACTCTCCACACACACACACACACTTGTGCACACGCACACATGGTCTGAGCCACTGGAGAACGATCTGTGGATGTCACACTCCGTTATCCAGAATACTGAGTGTGTGTTTTTAAGAACAGAGACTTGCCCCTCACATAACCACAAGAGCTTTATCAAAATCAGGAATAATAACATTGATCGCTTCTTGGCCTTCTGGCTAAGGTCAAGTGTAGGAATCATAGCATTGATACCACAGTACTGTCCAATCCACGATTCATACTAAAATTTTGCCATTTGTTCCAGTAATGTCCTATAACGCTTTTTTCCCCCTTTCTCTTTTCCTCTTGGTCTCAGATCTAATTCCAGATCACACATTACAATTTGTTGTCAAATATTTTAGTCTGTTTCAGTCTGGAATAGTTCTTTCTTGTCTTTCATGATCTGGACTTTTTTAAAAAATAGTACAGGCCAAATTTTTGTAGTTTGTTCCTCAGTTTCAGCTTGCCTCACATTTCTCATGATCAGATTCAGGCTGTGCGTTTTGGGCAGGAAACTGCAAAAGCGATGACGTCCTTCTGAGGACATTGTATCAGGAGGCACACGATGTCAGTTTGTCCGATCCTTGGTAATGGTAACTTGGATTTCTTGTTTAAGGTTTGTTTACTAAGTCAGTCCACTGTAAGATTCCCCTTTGTAATTAAAAAGTAATTTGTAAGGAGATACTTTCATACTGTAAGTATCCCATTCCTCATCAAACCTTCACGCACCAGTTTTACCATTCATTGGTAATTCTTGGCAAAGTCGGTTACCGTGCTGGTTGTAAAATGGAGATTTCCTAACTCCATCATTCTCTGTGTCTAGTAATTATTGTCCTGCCAGAGGGAAGAGCTGTCCTTTTCCTTCTTCCCATTTGATAATTTATATCAGGATGGACTTGCATGTTCTTATTTGATTCTGTAAATGATGTCTGATAATAAGCACATTTTCTTTTTTCATAAATTTGCTACCCAAGTTGTCCCAGATTTGGTCAGTGGTAGCATCGTGTCCTCTTAACATGTCCCAGTCATTTTTTAGTACTTCCCATTCTTTGTGGCAGTAAGTTCCAGGACAATCTTCTATTTTCTTGCCCCAGCCCTGGTATCAACTATTTCTCCAAGGAGTCTTGGTTTCTTTTACTGGAGAAGGAGAAGTGTTTGCTTCCCCGTCCAGGGTGTTACAATGGAGACAGTCTCATCTCAGAAGAAAGCAGCTGGCCCTCCGCCCATCAGTTCTCCGGGCAGACCCACCCGAGAGTGAACGGGCCTTCAGCCCACCCCGCAGCGTGGGACCCCATGCCAGCCCACTGTTTCCCTGGTTTGGAGAGAGGGCTGCTGAGGAGTCAGGGACCCAAAGCGATAAGTCAGTGATTGTCTTCCTTGGGAGAGCCCAAGGAAAGATAGCCTTCAGCAGTGTTCTGTGCCACTTTAAAGTAGTGATGAATTAAAAAAAAAAGTAGAGTTGGGCATCCAAAAACCTCATAAAAATGAAACAAGGTACTATAGTTACATCCCTGTTCTATTAACACGTAATACGGCTCACTCAGCAGCCCAAGGCTTGTTTATGGCATGTGATTCACAGTCACATAAACAGCAAGGCCTGTTCCCAGAGAGACGCGCTTGAAAAAGACCTTTCCCTTCTGCATCCCATCACCTGTGGTCATGTATTTATTTGTCAGCTTTGGTGACAAAGCACTCAGGTTGTCCTCGACACCAGGGGCCATCGCCTATTGCTCCTTCAGCTAGACTTACTCCTCACCAGGCAGGCAACTAAATTTTCGGTGTTGATTGCCAGCCCCGTTCCGAGAGTAAGTAGGAATAAAGTACAACACAGCAACACCTGGATGGGGACACTGCTGATGGGGCGGGGGTGGGTGCTCTGTTACAAGGAATTCTGAAGTCTCCTGGGTAGGTGCTCTGTTACAAGGAATTCTGAAGTCTCCTATCTGTTGAGTGAGGGTCCTGTCACTGGTCAGGGGTTGGCTCTGTCAGAAGCAGCCCAGGCAGGAGACTAGGGGCTGCATGAGACGCACAGACATGGCTCTAACTAGATTGGAGTCTACTGCCTTCAGGTTAAGAGCATCCAACCCTGAGATGAGAAGCTGTGGAGTAAAGCAGCTTGAAGGGTTAGAAGTCGTTGGGTCCTTGTCAAGCTGGGTGGGCTCCGGTGTGGACGGGAGGAGAGAAGAGTTGCTGGCTCGTGCTTGGAAGCATAGGGGTGCTGTCCTACCATGCCCCACACTCTGATGTCCAGCTGCTCCGGTGCTGGTGAGCAGGGCATGGGCTTGTGTCCTTCGAGGGAAATGGGGGCCTGGCTGTCAGTCAGTGAGATGATGAGACACAACGGCCTGCAGGTGTTACTTGCACCTGCTCAGACAGAGGCCTGGGGAGAGGGACTCCCCGGCTGCTTTTGTAGTTGTGTGACCTCCCCAGGGAGAGGAGGCTGTGTGGGCTCCCTATGGCAAGGTAAAAACAGGTTGGCGCCTCACAGAGCCCTGTCACTCAGCAAAGAGGTGGTGAAGACCATGGAGAGCAGGTCACAGAGGGAGGAGGCGATTTTGAGCTTCCCGTGACTGCTGCTTGTGAGCCAAGAGATTCCTGGTCACCACAGAGTGTGACGGGCAGGCTGATTGCATTGCAGGTACCCCGGAGCTCAGCGCTGCTGAGCGGAAGGAGCTGGAGAACAAGTTGAAGGAGCGGGAGGAATTCCTAACTCCCATTTACCATCAGGTGGCCGTGCAGTTTGCTGACTTGCACGACACTCCAGGCCGGATGCAGGAGAAGGGTGTCATTAGCGTAAGTACAGTGGTTGCCGCCTCTGACTTGTCAGAGACCCGCAGGCGAGCAAGTGTGTGTCTCCTGCACACAGGCTCATAGGGCTGGATTAAAACAGCTGGTGTAGATCAGACCACTTTCCTTTCTTGAGGGGGAAGAGACTTTTCCCTTTTTCTGTATCCACTATCATCCTCAAACAGTTGACGATTTAGGTTGCTTCCTGGACTCCACAGGAGGCAAGCTCCATTTTACTGGTGGGAAACTGAGTCACACATACCTCTGCCCAGGCGCTCAGGCTGTGAGTTACTAGTGTCAAGGTTCTAGCAGCAGCTGACTCACACTTGATTTGCGTGCGAGTTGTTTGAGCCATTTGCTCAAACCCAGTTCCTCACTGTGGTTACCTGGGAATTCACAGCCCCTTTCTAGACCATCTTAGCCATGAGTGGGGTTAAGCATTAGCCAGGCCCATCACTATGCACGTGCTGTGGTCTGTAGGACACGGGACACATCTGCAGGGGCAGGGAGCTCACAGCCAACTCTCAAGTCTCTGAGCAGCTTGCTGAGACTTGTTTGTGCCTGTGGCGTTCCCTGGACTGGCATTGGGCAGGGATTGGGACTGGGATGACCCACTTTATCCTTGCCTGTGTATAGGACATCCTGGACTGGAAAACATCCCGCACCTTCTTCTACTGGCGGCTGAGGCGCCTCCTGCTGGAGGACCTGGTCAAGAAGAAAATCCACAATGCCAACCCGGAGCTGACTGATGGCCAGATCCAGGCCATGTTAAGGCGCTGGTTTGTGGAAGTGGAAGGAACAGTAAAGGTAGGTGAGCGCCCTCAGAGGAGCCTTCCTGCCGTGCTCCTCACCCTGCCTGCGGCCTGCAGAGCTGGCCGTCTCAGAATCCCCAGGATCCTCTCGGGGCCAGAGTGGCGCGGAAGCGCAGGCCTGAAACGAGTTTTCTGCAACTCATTCCACCACCTACTTTTTGAGTACCTACTAAGTACCAGGGACTGCCTTAGGCCCTGGGGACATGGCAGTTAAAGAGGCAGACAGGGTTCCTACCCACACAGAGCTCCCCACCTGGAGGGAGAGACAGATGAGTGAGGAGGTCACATGCGACAGTGAGAGCACGGCACACCCAGGACGTCATAGAGCACAGAGCAAGGACACCTGGCCCACCCTTTGGGACGGGCGAGGGGAGTCTGGGAAGACTTCTAGAAGTGATGGGGCAGAGATCTGAAAACACAGCAGATGAACGAGAGGGAGAGGTTGGATTTAGGCGTGTAGGAGGAATGTTCCAGGCAGAAGGAACAGCATGTTATAAGGTGTGATAGCAAAAGTATCGTGCATTGCAGATGGGGTGGGGGGTGGGGTGAATCAGGGAGCAGAGACGGGGAGTGTTTCTTCCTTTCCCAGAGTGGGGAAGCCGTGTTGAGGGGCTCGAACTTAGTCCTGTGGGAAGCCGTGGAGGCGCTTTAAGCAGCAGAGACATTGTCTGACCTATCCTAGAAAGACTGCTTGGGTCGCTCTGTGGGGGCTAGAATTGAGGAAGGCGGGAGCAAGAAGCCAGAGAGAGGAGATGGTTATTTAGGAAGCCGGTGCTGTGCTTCTGATTTCAAATCTGAGCTGGAAGGACCTGGGAGCTGTGGCTCCGGGTGTTCTTGAGCTGATCCCACAGGCGGTGCGCCCCACGGAGCTGGTGTCCGTGATGTACCCCAGCCTCATCCAGAAAGCATTGCCTGCAGTCTCTCTGCTGAGCGTTCTCAGGAACTCCAGGGTTTGCCATCAGTTTTAAAGTCAGTGATTCAGGGTCCTTCCGAGATTCACCTTTGTGTTAACTCTGCCCATTTTTTACGACTGAAAAGCTTCTTTGGATAAATATTTCAGATGTGCAGCAGGGGAGTGCAGCCTTATGTGACATTTGGTTCAGGTTAAGGTCAGTCTGTGGCATCATAATTGAGTGAGACAATTTTGTCAGTGGCTACTGGCAGCTTCCACTGGAAGTTGGCATTGAAAGTCACGCAAGTGTAAAATAAGAGGTTGTTCTCCAGTTAAGAGTGGCTGGCTAGGTAAATGGACTGTGCGTGTGGCCAGGAGAGGCCCGCACCGCCTTCCTACCACATTAGTCACTAATGGACATGCACGGCCTCAGTGGGCACAAGGATGAGGAGAAGGAATCGCTTTCCTCTGCTCAAGGAGCGAGTGGCTAGGCCCCACAGTTGCCCCTCAGTGCCCTGCGCCCGCAGGACTGTGTCTGGAGGAGGTCATTTCCATCTCGTAATGATGGAGAGATCAGTGGACTGTGTGCAGACAGACTCCTGGCTGGAAATAGGGACAGAAGATGACCTCAGCCCTGTAGCTCAGCAGGAGGCTGTTTCCCTTGCCTTCCCCTGAGCCCTCAGTCCAGGAGACCAAGGAGAGAAAGGGCGGGGATCCTGGGAGGTGGCTTTGAAAGCTCCCTCCGGATTCTGCAGGCTCAGCAGTACCCAGTGCAGTGTGTGTGTGTGTGGGGGGGGGGGGCGTGATAAAATCTGCTGCGCCCTTGAGCGGAGAAAGGGTAGCAATGTTCAGAAGCTGCCCGTGCTGCCTCCAAAGCGCTGATGTGGAATCTGCTCAGTGTTGGGCAGTGGTGTAAAGCCTTAGAACCTTCCATTTTGTCGGTCCCAACAGTGGTAGATACGTGTGCCGTGCGTGGCTCTCCAGGGCAAAGGCTGGCTGGGTCTGGACCCTGGCTGTGCTCCAGGAAGTGACCCGCTAATCAGTGATCGGCATCTAGTAGCCATGCTGGGTGTGTATGTGTTTTCCTAGAGAATTTGCTTTTTTAATCTTAATCCCGAAGAAAGTGATTCAGGGACCGAAAATTTGAAGACACTGTGATATTACATAAGTGAACAATGTAATTTTTTAATTTTCCTTAGAGCAGCGATTTTTCAACCTTTCATCTCATGGCACACATAAACTGATTACTAAAATTCTGCGGCACACCGAAAATACAGATTTTGCCAATCTGACCAAAAAAAGGTATAATTTTGATTTACAAAAACAATAATGATAATAGTAATTACCTACCCTTTGTGCTATAAAGTGCCTTTTTAAAAAATCAGGTGCCCATACTTGTATCTAAGGATTTCTGTTACCAAGACTTATCCAGTAAGTCACAACTCTGTCATGTGACCTATATTATGGTTCAAGATGTGGCGTTCACACCAGACAGCCAGTGTCCTGTTGGCTGCTGTCATTTTGTTGACAGTCTAGGGGAAAAGAGGCCAGGGCCCCTGACTAGTCAGGTACTGCATGTTTAAAAATTGCAGCGTACCAGTTGAAAACCGCCGCCTCAGAGAAGTCTGCTGCCATGAGTTTCGGGATCTACTTGAGTCCCTGGGACAGTCCGACTGTAGGAAAGAGCTTTATGGTTCATGGTTTCACTGCAGGCAAGTGCATCCCTGTAGCTCCCTGAAAAATAAGAATTTGGGTTTAAATTGGGTCAGGTGAATGGAGCACTCATTCGTTCATGAGCTGTCTTCTCTAAGATCCAAATAAGAGGTTTGTGGTTTTTCAGACCGACTTTTTCTCCCAGTGGTAGAAGTTCATGTGGGACTCTGCAGGGAGCCCAGTTCTAATGGCGCTAAAACATGGGTTTCAGGATCTCAGACTTTTTGGATCCCAGTCTACTGGTGTGGACAAAGTATTTAGGCCCCTGTTTCCTCATGTGTAAAGTGGGGATGGAGTTTATTTCACTGGGGTCAGTGACTTTTTAGTGACACGCTAAGTAAAATGCAGAGCACAGTGCCTGGCACTCAGTAGACCAAATGTGCTGGTTTTTTCCTCCTCTGAGCACAGCTTGTTAGACTGAGAATTAGCCTGATGGTCTTGGCAGGAGCGGGCTGGTTCCGTGAGCATAGTCGAGTCTCAGTAATGGTCTTTGTTTTGGCTTGCTCTACTGTATCCACAACCTAAGATGCCGTCGTACATTCTCACTGTCCTGATATCTACCCATTCGCTCTTATTCCGGACTTCCAAATGAGAGGTCGTTGGTGCGGGCCCCTGTGAGGATGAGCGAGGAGAAAGCAGCATTGTTGGTAGGGTCATCTGATACCCAGCGTCCCCAAGACCTGGCCTCAAGTTACCTGGGGACAGGTGCGCACCACACTTCCCCCTTAGGGCCATGGAAGCAGGAGGTGAGGCAGAACCTGAACAGCATTGCTTGGCCTAGGGTAGGGCTGAGCCTGGAGTGGCTCTCAGGAGACCCCAGCCCACGTGGCTACTTGTATTTTACCCCAAATCCTCAGGAAAAAAATCACCCTGCTGGAGGTGTCTCCAGGCAGCTCCCAAGGTGAGTCCCCTGCAGGGCACAGTGATGGGGGCTCAGGTCCAGCAGGCTCTGCCCTGGTCACTCCCCAGCCCTGCAGTACCTTTGAGTAAAAAGGACTTAACAGCTGTCGATGGGTTAGAAATGAAACTTTCCAAACAGGTCATTTAGATTTTGTAAGACAGACTAATTAGTGCCCACAATTAGTGAGGCCAAGTGGTGCTGGGGATACTTACCCGCTGATGCAGAGAGAGAGAAGGTGTCTGCTGAACGTTACTGTAAGACCACCATTGGGATGTTTAATTATTGATATTTTATTGGTTTTAAAATATTCTGATTGGGATGAGTGTCAGCCAGTGCCTCGGCCCACGAGGCAGTCAACGGGGTCCACCGATATACCTGTAACGGATGAAGGGGGATGGGACAGGAGGCGCGAAGAATGGCAGCAAGACAAAGGATTCTGATCAAGCTGCAAATTTATTTCAAAATGGAGGGAGTTATATAGAGGAGGGCAGTGGAGGAAGTGCAGTGGATAGGGGGCTTCAAAGCGTGCTCTAGCCTGCGATTGGCCGGGGGGTGCATGGCGGGCGCATGATCAAGGCACTGATTGGTGTGCCACCCGCATGTCCAGGAGGGGGGAGTTCTATGGCTCCTAACCGCAGCGTCCTGTTATTCAGGCGCAACCTTCAGGTCTGATTGTATCAGCCTGTTTCAGGCTTATCCCAGCCCCCAACATCTCCTCCCTTATTTTTATTTTTAAGGTGAGGAGTGGACATTAACCGGCTAGGGGAGGCAGAGGTCTGGCTCCTCCTGAGCTCGTCCCGAGCTCTGAAGCACCCTTTTCGGAGGAGAGGGTTGGGGCGCTGACCTCTATGCAAGCCGACTTGCCTTTTTATTGCTTTGAGGGCGAGGAGAATGTAGATAGGGTAGACTTTAACCGGCTGGGGGAGGCAGAGGCCTGACTCCTCCTGGGCTCATTCTGAGCTGTAGGGTACCTTTTGGGAGGAGAGGAGTTGGGTACCAACCTCTTTGCAAGTCAGCTTACCTCTCAGGAGACTCGAAGTGGCCGTATGTACAGGCCTCTCCTTGCAGTGCTTTGCCTTGCACCCAGCGGTGTCTATCACAGCTACTTGGCTGTGAAGCATATCTTCGAGGGTTATGCTGCTCCCGCAGGAGGGGAACCTGGCAGGAATCGTGGGCTAGCACCCCAGCGGCTGTACGGCTCAGAGTCCGCTCCTTGTTCCAGCATTTCTAATTGTTGATAGTGTACCTGAATAGGTCTTCCTAGTACACTGTTAAGTTGGTCTTTGACTAAGTTAGTTATACGTCTAAGAATCCAGGGGGCAAAGGAGAGGAAGAGAATGATAGAAACTAAAGGTCCTAAGAGGGGAAGGGGGTAGGGGAGAATTCTGTTAAGTCCACCCCAAAGGGTGTGTTCGGAAAGTTCTTTTCCTTTACAGACGCAGGGTTGTCCAAATAGGGTGAGGCAGGGGTTTTGGGGTGGTCCTTCTCGTCCTCCGTCTGTCTTTAGGTATGGGAGTGTTCCGAGTAGTATAATGATGTTTATTCGGTGCGTTCTGTTTCCTGTAATAGAAAGGAGAGAGAAGTCCCTCAGGGAGTATGGCTTATCCCTGGGTTTGATTAGTATTATGTACTATGTCTATTTTTGGGTGGGTATTGGGTAGCTGATTGATTTGTTTTAGTAGTCTCTCGGGAAGCCAGCGTGGGCCATCTTCTTTTTGATCATATATGCAAGCTGAACCTCTCCCCCATATGAGAACGGGGTCTGGGCCTTTCCAGGCGTGAGTGAGGGGGTTGCGCCACATGACTGTGGCTTGTTGTGATGCGAACATAGTCACAGAGCTCTCCTTGGCGATAGGGGCGGATGGCATTTTGGCAAGCGGGGTTGGCATTTTCATAAGCTAAGTGTTTAACAAAAGCGTTTTTACTTTCACCCGCGCCAAAGAGCCTCTCAGCTAATTCCTGTAAACGACTTATAAAATCACTGTATGGCTCATCTGGGCCTTGTCTTATTTTTGCAAGAGAAGTGGTTGCAGTACCTTTTTGTGGAAGGCGCCTCCATGCTTTAAGACCCGCGGACTGGATTTGGGTTAAAAGTCGGGGGGGAAATTGAGCTTGTCTCTCATTGCTTTGATAGGGGGGCGGAGCCAAGAAACTTAAGGATGGTCCAATTTTTAGAGGAGGATTTTCGCATATTGCGCTGGACAAACTGTTTAGCGGTGTCTTCATATTCGCTTTTCCAAAGAATAAAGTCACCTCCGCTCAACGCTGCCTTTGCTAGAAAGAACCAATCATTGCGCGTGAGCCAGCGCTCACTAAGATTTTCAATTAGGGCAAGGGAAAAGGGAGCTGTGGGCCCGTAGTGTGTTACAGCAGCTTTGACTTTTTCTAGTGTTTTAAGACTTTTTCTAGTGTTTTAAGACTAAGTTTTTTATACGTGTGAAAATAAGCTTGGGGGGTCGCAGTGTCTCTTGTACTGGGCTGTGCTTCGTCTATATCAGAAGGGGAGCTGTCAGAGTCCTCAGGGTCATCACTGTCAGGAAGGGGGGTAGCTGCAGCCGCAGCTGAACTATCTACGTTCTCGGTCTTATCTGGGCGAGTCTGGGATCTAGTAACAGGGAATGCTAAAGTTTCGTGGGGAGGGGGACTGATCGTAAGAGCGGAGAGTTCATTGGCAATGGTTTTAATATCTCAGATGAAAGAGAGGGTTTCCTGAAGGAAAGGCTTTGGAAACGGAGTGAGTGCGGCGGTGGCCGCCAGCGGCAAAGCAGTGGGTGCCTTGCACGCCGCGGGCGGAATGGCGGAAGCGGGTGCGTGAGGGGTACTATAAGGAGGCGGTTTAAATGGCGGAAGGACTGCCGCTACGAGCGGCGGCCAGTCAGGATTATTGTAGCGAGCGGCCTCGTACTCTAACTCTGCCTGTTCAGAGGGGTTTAACTGGTCGCGGGGGTCCTGGGAATTGGGGGGTGGAGCAGAGGAATAGAACTCCTGAAGGGGAGGGTACAGAGAAGGGACTTGAGGGTCTGTATCTATTCGGATGGAAACAGAAGGACAGTTTGAAGGCGCTCGTGAGGGAGGTCGCGAAAGCGAGTCAGCATGAACGTCGGGGAGGCCGTGGACTGAGGCGGCTTTGGAGGGGGCTGGGGAGTGACTGCGGAGAATTTCTTGCCCTTCTTTGCAAAGGCGCTGTATGTCAGGGGAATTATTGTGGTTTTTAAGGATGTCTGTTATGAGGTTATAATAGTTAAAGGCAGTTATAGGGATAGTCTCGGGGCCAAAAACCTTATAATAGTCATTTAGACAGTCGCCGACACGGCGCCAGACGCGGGAGTCAATGCTACCCTCCTGAGGAAACCATGGGCAGATTTTAAAAACGAAAGTGAAAAAGGAATTCAAATCTTTTTTACGAACTCTTATCTTGTGCACCTTGAGAGACTCTTTTAATTGAGCAACGAACAAATCATGTTGTGAGCATGCCTGTCCCATGGCTGGGTCTTACCTTTGAAATGCCGCTGTTGGGGAACGGGGGTCTTCAGGGAATGCCGGCGCGCGGTCGAGTAGTCGCGGTGAGCCGGGCGAAACGCTGCGATCGAAGGGGACAGCGGTCCGCACAGGCGATCAGCGGGGCCCCATGTTGGGCGCCAGTTGCCTCGGCCCGCAAGGCAGTCAACGGGGTCCACCGATATACCTGTAACGGATGAAGGGGGATGGGACAGGAGGCGCGAAGAATGGCAGCAAGACAAAGGATTCTGATCAAGCTGCAAATTTATTTCAAAATGGAGGGAGTTATATAGAGGAGGGCAGTGGAGGAAGTGCAGTGGATAGGTGGCTTCAAAGCGTGCTCTAGCCTGTGATTGGCCCGGGGGGGGGGGGTGCATGGCGGCGCGTGATCAAGGCACTGATTGGTGTGCCACCTGCATGTCCAGGAGGGGGAGTTCTATGGCTCCTAACCGCAGCGTCCTGTTATTCAGGCGCGACCTTCAGGTCTGATTGTATCAGCCTGTTTCAGGCTTATCCCAGCCCCCAACAAGGCAGGTGACTTACGGCCCAGGCCTGTGATGAGGCCAGCAGCCCGGTGCTTCACGCGTGTTTAAAATCCACCCTGGGACACCAGGAATAATGAGCCACATTTTCATAATTTTCAGGCCAGAAATGATCATGGATTTTTTTTCTGGGAATAGGATTGGCTCATCCTTCTGGATGGCTGGAGTGAGGAGTCTTATAACTCTGTTCTCAGAGGGCAAACAAAGACTGTGGACTCCCCAACCTGGCAGAAGGGACGCTTGCTTTTCCTGGGCGGGGAGGAAGGCAGCCTGCCGCAGTGTGTTAAGGCCTCCCACGTCTGTCGAGGAAAAACCTACGGTGCTGTGGCTGCTGAGGCTTGTTTGTTCTTGCTAAACGTGCAGCTGACTCAGCTCTGCGACCCTTTTGCCTTCACCTACCCCGAGGGGCGATCTAAACTTCACTGGGGTTTGGCTTGCTGGATGTCACCCGGTTGCTATACTTTGAACAGCAGGTCATTCAGATAAGGACATTTGCAAAGGGGAGACTTGAGAGCAACAGTCCTAAAACTTGGACTGTGTTGCTCTGATCCTCTCTAGGAACTTTTTAAATATTTAATTTAAACACCTAGCATATTGTATGGCTGCAGGGGGGGAAGGCAGAAGAGTTTTCTCTAGAGGGTAGCTGGTTACCAGTGTAGTGTCTGAGCATCGTTAGAAGCAGGCATCTCGTTAGCTAATACATTACACCAATCAAGGAGCATTATCTTAAGCCACAATTAATCTGCTCCCTGGCATATGTTGATAGGAAAGCATCATGCTGTTTCTTAATTAAAAGCAAACGGATTAAAAATGATTAATAAGAGTATTAAATAGTCTCCTAAACGAGAGGCTTTGGGGTTCTTGGGTAAACCTAGTTTTGTTTTGTTTTTCCCATACGGAAATCCAAGCAATAGTCATTGTTTTAGTTTTTCCTACCTCCAGAGCTGCATAGGTGGGGCATGTTCCACAGTCCTCATCAAGCCATGAGCAGAAGTCAGTTACCAGGGATGGAAATGGAGGTGTTGGATCCAGGGGTGTCCATCTGTAGGTGGGGTGAGCAGGAGCTGGAATGCACAAGTTAAGACCATGTTGTGGGGAGAGCAGCGCCCCCACCGTTGCCCAACAGAGATAAGACTTTCCTGCCGTTGAGCCTGAGATGTGTCGTGACCCCAGGGCAGGGGGGGGGGGGGGGAGGCTCCCTCAGGTCTGCACCACCCTGGCCACAGTGCCTGGCTGGGAGAGCTGACCTTTTTACTAGTGACTAGAGATGTGGGCAAATTTGGGGGCAGAAAAAGAACTGGTTAAGAAGCTGGAAAAGGCATATTGCTGATCCTGAATTCTGAGGCTCCTTAATCCTTTAACTGTGAAGGACTTACAAATTGTTAGAACCCTGACCGGGCGGCGTTGTCCCACAAAGCAGAAGGTCAGGGCACATGCCTGGGTTGCGGGCTCAGTCCCGGTCTGGGCGCATGTGAGAGACAGCTGATTGATGTTTCTCCTACACATGGAGGTTTCTCTCCCTCCCATCCCCTTTCTCTAAATAAATAAAATCTTTTTAAAAATTGTTAGAAATGCGGAAGTCGGTGACATGACACACAGTAAAGAACCAGTCACATCTAACTCACCACCTAAGAGACAGGACATGAATCTGAAAAGAATCCATCATTTTTAAAGGCACAAAGCAGGAAGTTAGAAAGCAGCGCGAGGCTGTTCCTCCCAGCAAGGTGCCTCCCGAAGGGCGTGTTGGACACGTCTCCTGGGCTGTGGTGGGGCAGGTTCTGAGCCTCCGCGAGTCCCTGATGCACCACCTGTGAAACTGCAGCGCCAAACTCATTGTCATTCCGACTTTGACTTCGTTAGTGATAACAGAGAGGGATAGCGCACCTTTAAATGACGAGCTTTGTGTTTAATTACCCAAACAAAATGACATAAATATGAATGAGCCCTAATGGTGGTACTTGGTTTTCCGGAAACCATTAACAAAACGATTCCTAAATGATTTGTAAAGAAAATGAGAGGAGAAGAGCAGGGAGAAGGCTATTAGGTTTCTAACACACTCCTGAATTATTATGTAGTCAACTACCTAGGAAACACTCAGCTAAATGATCTTGAAAAAAGGAGGCAAGAGGGGGTTTGTTGAGTCCTTCAGGGTTATAGACGCCTTGACCCTTTTGAATACTCTCGGAGAAAGTAAAACAGGTGGCGGACCTGGAGGCTGTGCCCTCAGGGCAGGACTTTCCTCACATCGGGCAACTCACCTGCAGGGCCTGGCTGGGACCCCATTTTAGGCTCTGGGCCTCAGTTCCAGGAAATCACACGGGATGCTCCTGGCCTGAGGCCCGTGGGCTCCTTATTCTACAACGTTGGCAGTAACAGCATTGTGAGCCAGTGTTCTGCACTGAGCGAGAGTTCAGAGTGAGCCTTCCAGGTGGAGAACACTCAGGGTGTCCGCCTGGCCCCGGGGCCTGACCGGGGTCCGTCTGTTGGCAGGCCTACGTTTGGGACAACAACAAGGACCTGGTGGAGTGGCTGGAGAAGCAGCTGACAGAGGAGGACGGGGTTCGCTCAGTCATAGAGGAAAACATCAAGTATATCAGCAGAGACTACGTCCTCAAGCAGATCCGCAGGTGAGACCGCAGTGGGGGGCCCCTAGGAGAGGTAGGATTCACGTCTTTGGAAGGAAAAATGTAAAAACGTCTCGAGATGATGACGATGCTATGCAATCTCTTTGGTCTCGTTCTGTCGGAGCCCACGTGGTTGACCCACAGGTATAAACAGGGCCCTGAAGCGCAGTTCCTCCTCAGCCTCTGGTCCCCCGGGGCCCCGAGCGACCTCAGCTAGATGAAGACTCAGTTCTCTGTGCCCAGCTGTTATCTCCAAACGCAGATACTGTAGCTGGTGAACGATCCTGTGAGGAGAGCCCATGGCGCAGTCCCCGGGGGCCCGCCCGCCCGCCTCCCCAGCAGTTAGCCGTCTCCTTCTGGGGTGCCAGGCTTCTTCAGAGGAGTGGGGTGCAGACTGGGGGGCATTTCTTAAACGCCTTTTATTTGGAAACATTGTACTTACAGGAAAGCTGTAAAACTAAAAACAGTACAAAGCACAAATCCACTTTACATTTTACTCCACCTGCTTTAGCGTTGGTGAGTGTCCAGCCCGTTTGTGGGGCTGCTCATGCTGAGCTTGTCGGGGGTCCCCTCATGATTGGCCTCAGACCGTCTGTGCTCAGCCAGGTCGTTCCTGTGGGGTGGTGTACCCTGCACGGGGGCCCCACATCTGGAGACGCGACGCCATCTGCCCCTGCGGGAGTTAGTTTTGATCAGCTAAGCTGGTCCAGGTGTGACTCAGTTTCTCCAGGGTGTAATCATGGGTTCTCCCCCTTGTGCGCAGTAAGTGGGCTATGAGGAGACATTGGAAGGCCATGCAAACTCCCTGTTCCTCACCAGAATGCTCGCTGGATTTAGCATCCGTGGGTGGTTGGCTTGCTCTGGTTCTGCTGTAAGCAAGAGTCCTCTCTCCTCCATGCATTTGTATATTCATTATTCACTATATATTCAATATGTATTTCTATTTTTAATAATTTTTAATTCATTATTATACTTATTTTGATGCCCCAGATTTAGCCAGTGGGCACACCCTCATCGGTTTGGGAAGTGGTGTTTGAAGTACTTCCTTACCTTTTCACATAGCAGAATGTCTCAGGGTTACCTTGTTGCCTGCTTTGCCGCTGGGGACGGTTTTCAGGGAGGAAAACAAGTCCACTGAGGTGCCGACTGGCATGTCCGCAGCAGCGAGCTCTGCCAGTGCGGTAGGGGGTCGTTCTCTGCTGCCTCTCTCTCCCCTTCACCCTCCCACGTCTTCCTCTCCAGCTTGGTCCAGGCCAACCCAGAGGTCGCCATGGATTCCATCGTCCACATGACCCAGCACATCTCCCCCACACAGCGAGCAGAGGTCATCCGGATCCTCTCCACAATGGACTCCCCTTCCACGTAGGGGGGGCGTCCTGCTCACCCTGCCCCACCTCCCAGAGAAGGGCTGGAGCTGCCTTTTACCACTGAGCCCACTGACGAGAAGGCACAGGAGACCCAGCACTGGAATCAAAGTGGCGTTTTGCTTCCCCTCGAACGCTTTCAGATTCTGCATGACATACCAGGATACAGGGTCATGAAGCTCTGCTCCAGCCCATCGGTCACATCTATCCAGTCTGTGCAGTATTTATTACCCTGGCTGGGATGACAGTCCTCTCCCTGCACACACCCAAGAAGGCAATGAAGGGTACACCATACCACGAGGTCTTCCTACACAAGAGCAGGGCCGCCCCTCCTGTCCTCCAGCGCCGTGGTCCCCAGCCCCGTGAGCCTGCAGCACAGGCAGCAGGGGAGGGCTGGGGGGGGGGGGAAGCCTCGAGTCCGTGGCTTCTTTACCCCGTGTTTGGCTTGGTACACACTGAGCACTGGAGAGGACTCATTCCCAGTCTGAGCACACTAAGGTACCTATTTATGAAGAAAAATAGACTAGAGAATCTGCAAGCTCTGTGGGAACTCAAAGGTGAGGGGCAACAGCATGGTCCTCGGAGCGGGGAAAGAACATAGACCAAGTCACTGTTGCAGATTAGGGGCCTCGACCTTGAATTCAATTCTCTTAGAACAAATGGAAAGATGGCGACCTATACTACCCTGCATGGCACTGCTGGACTGGTCAGGGCCAGGGCGTGGGGGGCCCCAGCCTCTACCCAGGGCCCACAGGCAGTGCTGGAGCCGAGCTGGCAGAGGAGGTGGGGGGGGTGCTGCCCTCTCCGTAGCTGGTGGAAAGTAGTTAATGGTGCCGCAGGGACAGTAGGCAGACAGTCTCTCTTTAGGACTTGGGAGGTTGTTGCTATTGAGCCTGGAGCTCTGATAGTCACAAGAAGTCAATAGTGCCTGCAGAGTCGCTCGTGTGTCTCCAGGGCGACTCTCCTAGCGTCTGCAGTCCTCCTCCCAGCGGGCCTGCTGTCTTCCTGGGATGTGCACCGGCAACAGGTGCGGCAGGGCTCCCCACAGTTGCTGACAGGAGCTCTGGTGACATCTGTGCTCTCAGCACCAGGATCACAGAATCCACGTGACCTTAAGATTACCTACGACTCCCTCATGGTGCTGTCGTCTTTCTTCCAGGCTCGCCGGCCCCTCCCCAGCCAGCAGCAGGGGCCTCCTCATGAGTGGTAGGAAGCATTTGTTTAGTTCCAACCACCAGTTTAGTCAAGGAAAGAGCTTACTGATTCCCCCAAAGCAAGAGTGGCAGGTGGTCAGGCCAGTGGAGCATCCGGTTCCTACAGCGCAGCTGATTGCCTTTATCACTGACAACCAAGGAGGAAATCACCAGAACATTGGAGAAGCGCTGGTATGAACACCGGTGTACAAAGCTGCAGTTTTGAGCCTTAACCCTCTAGCTCACACACAAGAGTGAGCTGCACGTCTCCTTCTTTGGGAACCGTTTGTGCAGGTGGGCACTGTGTGGCCGGATGCGGCCCTGCTCGTCCCCAGGAGCTCAGAGCCTCGGCCAGGGCTGCCCTGCTTCAAGGTATGAGTGTTTGGCACCATCGGAGAAGGGCGGGAAAAGGTCTGGGGTGATTTCCAGTTCACAAAGAAGCCTCTACTGTTGCTAACTTACTGAAGCCAGTAAGAATTGACTTCCTCTTGGCCCAGACTGCCCCTCTACACTTCCTGCAGTGAATACAACTCCCACACCGACGGCCGCTGTGAAGTCCTGGACGCCCCAGCTGGCTGGTCCCCGCCTGTGCCTGCCCCAGCTTCCTGCAGAGGCGGGCTCCGCTCATTTACCTCTCCCCACTCCGTCCACCAAATTGTGAAACACTAAGCAAATCCGTTTCCTCTCCAGAGCCCTGTAATGCCTGTTCCTCCGTCTCCAGAGCACCTCACATTAAGTCTTACCCTGTACAAGGATTTTCACGTGGAGAAGTCAGAAGGAGCCACCGAACGCGGCGATCTGGCATCGCCGCAGCCCGTTACACGCACAGGGTCCCCGAGGCAGGGGGAGTGTAAGTGACGCATTGGCCAAGACCCGCGAAGCTGGGACCGCGTGTCATCTGTTCACCTCGTTCACAAAGCAGCCTTCACTTGTCTCTGTGAGAATTCGATGGACACGTACCCTGACGAGCAAGGAGCTTCAGTCAGATGTATTCTTTTCACATTTTGTTGAATAAACCTCCACCTTTGTAGAAGAGTTGCTGTTGGTCATTTCAGCCGCTGCGCAGCCGCTCGTTCTTGACCCCCTCAGAGCAGGGGTGCCTCCAGCCCCGGTGGGGGTGCCCCTGCTCCCTGCTGAAAGCAGAACTGTCGTCATGACAGAATGGGACATGCTGCTTCTGCAAAGTGACAGTGTTCAGCTGCTTGGTGGCTTCTCGGATACGCACACCTGTGATGGCGTGGGCAGTTCCACAAGTATTCTTAAGGTGGATACGAAGATTTGAACCTCCTGGTTTGCACGATGTTGTGGGGATTTCCCAAGTCACAGGACTAGTGAACCATTTTCAGAGGGCACCTCAGGCCACTTTCACAGAGAGGTTTTAGATTCCCTTAACGATTTGGCTACTTAATGGGTTTTGAATGCCAACTTTTGATACCAAAAAACACTGTGGGCAGGAAACTCATGAGTGTGTGCCTTCAACCCTCTGCCTCAGTTTCTCTCTATGAATCCATGTGACTGAAGAAAAAAAAAAAAACACCAGTCCCTAAACAGGTGCAAAGAGAGGCAGAGGCCTGACGAGAGCAGGGCGGGAAACACGGACTCTTACTGACCATTCAGCTCCGTGCCATGTCTCTGTGCGACATGCAGCAAAGGGTGGCTTTTTCTGAAGTGAAATAAAATGGCACGTACAATCAGTTTGAATCACCCTAAGCTAGATGTTCTAGAACGGGGAGTAAGGAGGGAGCCAGGGGGGGCGCTGCTCCGCCTCCGGCTGCTGCACTCCACAGGCATCGGCCCCGCACGGACCTGAAGCTGTCCCTCCTTTGGGCCAGCACCTGTCCGTGTTCCTGGGGAAGGCGGGCAAGACGAACAGGAGAAGACTCTGCCTCTGCCTCAGGGAACTTGCCTGATGCATCCAGTGCTTTCCTCTGGTGGGGAGCAACATCCTTAAGTCTTTTTAATAAAAGAAAAATGTAAGCTTCCACTGCTATTACATTGGGGTAATAAGGGAAAGGTTGAACAGCGAGGGTTGTGTGGTCTGATCCTGGGCTCACCTGTATCTCCCCAACTGGAAAACAAGAACCCGGTGGTGAACGCAGGTGCCTCCGATTGCGAGGCCGCGTCAGGCTGCAGTGAGAGGCGGGAGCGGCGCTGAGCTGGGAGGCGGGCCTGCCCCAGTCCACAGGGCGAGGCAGTGTGTGAGTGGTGCCGACAAGGGCTGAAGCCTGTTTATCCTCTGAGTGGGGAGTAAGGCAGGGTCTCCCAGCTAGGGCACCAACACCTGCAAAGTTATTCAGGGGACACTAGGAATGCCCGCTGGACAAAGCACAGGGAGGTGGACAACGAAATCTGAAAAAGCAAGTAGGCAACACTGTGAAGATCGGTCAGCGCTGGGCCACAGAACAGGTATGTCCTGGAGAGAATGGGACACCTTGGATGGTTTGGGGACAGGGGAAGCCTGGATAAAAAGATTTAGAAAGCAGCCAAGTTGAGTAAAAAGAGCACACAGCCGTGGATACCAAGAAATCCACCTCCAGGCTCAGCAACATGTGCCTCCGTCCCTGAGGAGAGCTCACCAAGCCCAGGCCACCCCAGTGGGCGTGGATGGAGTGGCGGCGGCCCCTCAGTGCCCCAGAAACCCCGCGCGCGCCGCAGGCGGCAGATGGCGGCGGTTTTACCAACCAGGGAGCAGCGCCGGCTGCTGTCACATGCTGGTCAGTGGGCAGGTGGTGTTGGGTTGACCAAAAAGTTCACTGGGTTTTTTCCATACGCTGGCTCTAGTAGTGCTTAGTTGTCTAACTTCATTTGAAACAATTTTATTAGACTATTGTGACAGCTGTCTTATCAGCATGCATTTTTTTAAAAAAGCATCAAAATTGGGGAATTTTTGTGCAGCCATTTTAATATTGAAGATGGAAGAAAATACGCAACACTTTCGGCATATTATGCTTTGTTATTTCAAGAAAGGTAAAAACACAACTGAAATGCCAAAAAAGGATTTGCGCAGTGTATGGAGGAGGTGCTGTGACTGCTAGAACATGTCAGAAGTGATTTGTGGAGTTTCCTGGTACTACTGACATTTTGGCCAAACAATTCTTTGCTGTGGGGCTGACACACCGGAAGATGTTTAGCAGCACCCTGGCCTCCACCCACTAGAAGCCAATAGCAGGATATAGCCAACATACTCAGAACATCCAAATCAATAAAGTTATTGGTGAGAATGAAAAATGTGTCTTTTATTGTACAGAAAAAAAAACCATGTGGACTTTTTGGCCAACCCAATAACAATAAATAATGGGAATGGGACACATCCCCCAAAACATCGGACCCCTGTGGCGGGCAGAGGGGCAGAGTGATGATGGAGCCTTAGCGCTGAGAGGACTTGGTCCGGCCAGAGGGCTCAGCCCGTCGGCGACTGTGGGAGATGAGTTAACTGGCCTTCTGGAGTTAGCAGGAAGGACTGGGGATGAGGACCGACAAAAACCACCAAAGAGGAACAGGCCCCGAGTCAGGGAAAGGTTTGCAGCACCACTGCCTGCACTGGCACGTACCCTCGTGGACCCGGAGAGCGCGGATTCTGCAGGAAGTCTGACTGGGTTCGGATACGGCCCCTCAATCCTGCCCTTTGGCAGCCCCTGACCCCTAAGTGTGAAATGTGGACAACAACAAGGACCTCCAAGTGGCTTTTTGAAAATTACCTAAATTAATTCATGTGGACCAATTAGTGGGCACTGGTAACACATTTTCAAATGTCAGATTCCTCCATACCCTGTCTCTTCCTTGTGCTCACAAGGTAGGGGACCTGCATCACTCGAGAGAGCCTTCCTCGAACATTTTCAGAGAAACATCCCCTTACAAAAGCAGGTTTAGGGAGTGTCACTAAGCATTGAGTTATGGACACTTAAGCAAAAGGACCGCTGGGGAGTGCTGTAGTTGGACTGTCTGTGCACCCCGCTCCCAAACTGATACATCGAAATCCCAACGTCAGCAAGTGCTGGTGTTAGAAGGTGGGAACTTTGAGAGATACTTTGTCATGAGGATGGAATTAGTGCCTTATAAACGGGGTCCTGAGAGATCCCATTCCATCATGTGCAGATGCAAGTCTACCACCCGGAAAAAAACCCTTGCCCACCCTGATCTCTGGCTTCCAGAACTGTGAGGAATAAATTTCTGTTGTTTATAACTCCAGTCTGTGGTGTTTTGTTATGACAGCCCAAATGGACCGACAAAAACTTGGGCCAGGAATGAGGTGCTGCTGTAACAAACCTAAAAATGTGGAAGCAGCTGGGAATAGAAGGGATGTACCTCCACATAATAAAGGCCATATATGGCAAGCCCATAGCTAACATCAAACTAAACAGTGTAAAGCTGGAAGATCAGAAGTAAGACAAGGTTGCCCACTCTTATTTAATATTTATTTTTAGAGGGGAAGGGAAAGAGGGAGAGAAACATGAATGTGTGGTCACCTCTCATGTGCCCCTTACTGGGGATCTGGCCTGCAACCCAAGCATGTGCCCTGACTGGGAATCAAACCAGCGACCCTTTGGTTCACAGGCTGGCACTCAGTCCACTGAGCCACACCAGCTAGAAGGATGCCCACTGTTATTAAACATAGAAGTCCTAGCCAGAGCAATCAGGCCAGAAAGAAATAAAAGACATCCACGCTGGAAAGGAAGAAATAAAACACTCCATTTGCAAATGGCATGATATACATAGAAAACTCTAAAGTCTCCATGAAAAAAAACTATTAGAACTAATGAATGAATTTAGTAAAGTGGCAGGATACAAAATTAATACATTGTACAAAAGTCAGTTACGTTTCTATACCAATGAACTGTCAAGAGAGAAATTAAGAAACTCCCACTTAGTCCTGGCTGGTGTAGGTCAGTGGATTGAGTGCGGGCCTGTGACCAAGAGGATCGAGGTTCGATTCCTAGTCAGGGAACATGCCTGGGTTGCAGGCCAGTTCCCAGCAGGGAACACACAAGAGGCAACCATACATTGATATTTCTCTCCCTCTCTCCTTCCCTTCCCCTCTAAAGATAAATAAAGAAAATATTTTTTTAAAAAAGAAACCCCCATTTATAATTCAATCAAAAGGAATAAAACACCTAGGTATAAAGTTTACCAAGGAGGTCAAAGGTCTGTACACTGAAAATTGTAAGACATTATAAGATGAAAGAAAATGAAGAAGGCATAAATAAATAAATACTCTATGCTCATGGATTGGAAGAATTAATATTGTTAAAATGTCCATAGCACCCAAAGCAATCTGCAGATTCAATACAATCTGTATCAAAATCCCAAGTAACATTTTTCACAGAAAGAAAAATTATCTTAAAATTAGTATGGAACCACAAAAGACCCTGAATAACCAAAGCAATCTTTAAATAGAAGAACAAGGCTGGAGGCATCATACTTTCTGACTTCAAACTATATTACAAAGCTTTAGTCATCAAAACAGTATGGTACCGGCACAAGAACAGACATATAGATCAACAGACCACAATAGAGACCCCAGAAATAACCCCATACATACATGGACAATGAATTTAAAACAAAGGAGCTGGAAATATGCGGTGAGAAAACATTCTCTCCAATGAATGATGCTGGGAAGACTGGACAGCCGCATGCAAGAAAATGAAACTAGACCCTTATCTTACACCATACACAAAAAAATCAACTCATGATGGAATTAAAAACTTGAACCTGAAAGTAAAACCTGAAACCATAAAACTCCCCAGAAGAAAACATAGGGTTTCAGCTCCTTGACATCAATCTTGGAGATGATTTTTTGGATATGACCCAAAAGTAAAAGCAGCAAAAGCAGAAATAAACGAGCGGGACTACATCAAACTAAAGAGCTTCTGCACAGCAAAAGAAGCAATCAACAAACGATGAATAAAAATGCAATGAACAGAATGGGAGGAAGTATTTGCAAATTATGTATTTGATAAAGGTAATATCCAATATATAAAGAACTTATAACAATAGCCAAAAAAAAAAAAATCTGATCCAAAAAAGGTCAGAGGAACTGAATAGACATTTTCCCAAAGATAAACAAATGGCCGTAAAAGCTACATCCTAATCATCAAAGAAATGCAAATCGAAACCACAGTAAGGTATCTGCCCATACCTGTTAGAATGGCTGTCATCAAAAGGACAAGAGGTAGGTGTTGGTGAGGTTGTAGAGAAGAGGGAACCCTTGTGCACTGTGGGTAGGAATGTAAATGGGTATAGCCACTGTGTAAAACAGTATGGATGTTCCTCAGAAACTTAGAAATAGTGCTACTAAATGACCCAACAATCCCACTTCTGGGTATATCCATCTAAAGGAAATGAAAGCAGGATATCAAAGATACAGCTGCATTCCGTGTTCATGGCAGCCAAGACATGAAGGCAACCCAAGTGTCCTTCAGTAAACGGGTGGATTAAGGTGTGGTGTACAGGCACAATGGAACGTAATTCAACCACAGGAAAGAAGGAAACCCTGCTATTTGTGACAACACAGATGGACCTTGAAGGCTTTATACCTTGTGAAATAAGCCAGAGAAAGACAAGTACAGCCTGGTATCACTCATATGTGGAGTCTCTAAAAAACCAAAAAGTCAAATTCATTGACACAGTGGAAAAGTAGTTTCCAGGAGCAAGGGGGAAGGTGTGTAAGACATAGGGAATGGGTGGTGAGAGAATGCATACCTTCAGCTACAGGATGAATGAGATCTGAGGGTCTGTGTGTGTCATGGTGACCGTAGTTGACAGCACTGTGTTATAAAATAAATTTGCCAGTAGAGTCAAACTTAAGTGCTCATACACACACACACGGGTAACTGTGTGAGCTGGTGGGTGTGTTAACTATCTGAGAGGATCCTTTCACAGTCTGTAACAAATCGCCATGACGCATACTTTAATTATTGTACAATTTTATAGGTCAATTATACCTTAACTAGGCTGAATTGATACCAGGGGTGAGGAGCTGCTATAATAAACTGAACAATGTGGAAGCAGCATTGGAACTGGGTGATGGGCAGAGGCCGGAAGAGTGGAGGTCCCTGCTAGAAAAAGCCTACGTCGCCATGAACAGAACTTTACAGGGCGATTTGGGTGAGGACTCAGAAGAGGAGCGCCGTGGAGGGAGCTTCTGTCTCCTTAAGAATACCTAGGCGGTCGGTGCTCAGACGGAAATGAGGGGCACGTGGTTGGAAACTGGGGAAAGGCGATCTTTGTCACATAGTGGCAAGGAACTTGGCTGACTTGTGTTCCTCTCTTAAGGTAGAATTTGTGAGCAATGAAATTAGATATTTGACTGAAGCTATTTCTAAGCAAAGATTGGAAGGCGCAGCCTAGCTTCTGTCCTACACTTGTAGTAAAATGTGAGAAGAGGGCAATGACTTAGAGAAATAACTGTTCAAAAGGGAAGCAGACATTGAAAATTTAGAAAATTCGGGGACTTCCGCCAAGATGGAGGTTTAGGTGGATGTGCCGTGCCTCCTCACACAACCAAGTTTAGGGATAACTAAATATTAGCATCAGAAAACACAACCAGAACACGGAAAACTGAACTTTTCGGAAGTCCGCTAACAACAAATTCTTCAGCCCGACCTGTAAGGGGCGAAACCGGCATCGGGTGAGGAGTTACAAAGGAGGGCTCGGTCGGACCGGCGCGGAAGTCCAGACGCGCGAATCCAGTCGCACGGGTTCCAAACCCAGGATTGGACCTAGTGAGCAACCGAGCAACCCACCAGGTGAGCGACTGCAGAGGAGACAGTGGGGAGGCGGTGCAGCGTGTTGACTGTGGTTGCCTAATTGCGCGCGAGTGAGGGAGTGAGCAGTTGGACCGGCGGCCCGCGGCCAGCAATAGAGGGCGCCGCCATTTCCCCGCTCTGACCACGCCCCCACATACAGCGTCACAACCCAGCGACCTGGGACTCCAAGGCGCCGCTTCTCCCACTTAAAGGCCAGAACAGACCAAAAATGTCGCAGGGAGAACTCAAAGCCCCAGAGATAAATCTAAGTGACGAAGAAAATAGCAAAACTCTCAGATGCACAGTTTAAAACACTGGTCATCAGCTTCACTCACAGATCTGGTGGATTATAGCCACAAATTAGAGAAACATATGAAGGCTAAATTAAGGGAAATGAATGGAATTCCACAGGAAACCCATAGAGATGAAAAGGAAACTGGGACTCAAATCAATGGAGTGGACCAGAAGAAACCAAATAATGGCCAAACAGAAAAGAGTCAAGGAGCAAGAATTCAAAGGAATGAGGAGAGTCTTAGGAACCTCCAGGACATCTTTAAACGCTCCAATATCCGAATTATAGGGGTACCAGAAAGGGGGAAAGACACAACCACCAGTGGAAAAACTATTTGAACAAATAATAAAAGAAAATTTCCCCAATCTGGCAAAGGAAATAGACTTCCAAGAAATCCAAGAAGCCCAGAGAGTACCCAAAAAAGTTGGACTCAAGAAGAAACACACCAAGGCATATCATAATTACATTAGCCAAAATTAAAATGAAGGAGAGAATCCTGGAAGCAGCAAGAGCTAAGGGGACAATCACCTACAAAGGAGTCCCCATCAGGCTGTCAGCAGATTTCTCAAAAGAGACCTTACAGGCAAGAAGGGGCTGGAAAGAAATATTCCAAGTCATGAAATCTAAAGACCTACAACCAAGATTGCTCTACCCAGCAAAACTTTCATTTAGAACGGAAGGACAGATAAGGTGCTTCTCAGATAAGACCAAATTCAAGGAGTTCATCATCACCAAGCCCTTATTATATGAAATGTTAAAGGGACTTATCCAAGAAAAAGAAGTTAAAGAAACATGAACAGTGAAAGGACTACAAACTCACAGTTATTAACAACCACACCTAAAACGAAAGCAAACTAAAAGGACAGCTAGATCAGGAGTGGAAACATAGAAATGAAGATCTCAAGGGAGGGTTAGCAACAGGGGAGTGGGAGGGAGGAGATGGGGGGAGAAGGTACAGAAAACAAGTAGCATAGACAGTAGATAGAAAATAGATGGGGGGGGGGCAAGAATAGTATGGGAAATATAGAACCTAAAGGACTTGAGACACATGGACATAAACTAAAGGGGGGTAATGGTGGGGTTGGGGGGCAGGGTGGAGGGGAATGAAGGGGGGAATAGAACAACTGTAACAGCATAATCAATTAA